CACCCGCCCAAACAGCGCCATGCTCTCTCTGCTTGCCAGGCTGTAGCAACCCCAGGTGAAGCAAACCTGGGAGAACACGGCCGCCGACTCTCCCTTCTTCTCCTTCCTCGCTTGAAGCCCTGTGCTGCCACCTTAAACCCTAGACCAAGCCTCGATATGTTATTACCAAATGTTTTTTCCCAGTTTGTGGGTTTCCTTTTTAACCCTGGAGGAGGTTTTTTTAATTTTTTGTTTGTTTGTTTGTGTTTTGGTTTTTTAGGTGCATTGGGATTTGATTCTTAGAAGATCACATTCATTTATTTTATTCTTTCCTGGTCGTAGGTTTTTCAAGATGCTTGGAAGATTGTTCATATTTTGGCTTAGGGATTCTTGAGTTCTTTTAGACTTTCCTCTGATGAAGTTTATAGTCTTTGGTTTTACTCCTAGGTCCATGATCCACTTTAAGTTGGTTTTGTTTATGTTATGAGGTGTGGGTCTTGCTTGAGTTTTTAACAGATGATTTTCCAATTTTGCCAACATCATCTGTTAAAGAAGCTTTTGTTTCCCCACTTAATTGACTTGTCTCCTTGTTGAAAGTCATTTGAACTTAAGTAGATGAGCTGATTTCTGAGTTCTCAGTTCTATTCCATTGATCTGTGTGTCTGTCACTGTATAAGTACCACACTGTCTTGACCACCACCTCTTTGTAGTAGGATTTGAGATCAAGGAGTGAGATGCCTCCTACCTTCTCTTTTTCAGGAGTATTTTGCTTATTCAGAGTATTTTTTTTTCCAGATGAAATTGGAAATTGCCTTTTCCATCTCATTGAAGAATGGAATTGGTATTTGTATGGGATTGCATTGTAGATTAACTTTGGTAATTGTCATTTTTACAATATAGAGTCTTCCTATCCATGAGTATGGCATACTCTTTCATTTATCCAGGTCTCTTTTTGTTTCTTATAGTAATGTTTTATAATTTTCTGTCAATAAGTCTTTTGTGTTTCTAGTTAGATTTACTCCCAAGTATTCATCTTGCTTCGTTCCACAATCAATGACCTTGGTACCAGAAGTCAGAAGATCAGGATATATAAAGGAATTTCTCCAAATTACTGAGGAGCAATGATGTTAGTTCAAAGACTAAGGTGTGCCTGATGCAGGTCTTTTCATTGACTTGCTATACTTCTAAAAGCTAGACAGTGAATAAGGATGGTAGGAGAAAAATTGATGTCTTTGAGTTGTGGTGTTGGAGGAGAGTACTGAATACTCAAGGACTGCCTAAAGAACAAACAGATTTGTCTTGGAGAAGGTGAAGCCCGAATGCTCCTTGGAAGCAAGGATGGTGAAGCTTTGTCTCACCTACTCTGAGTATGTTTCTAGGAGAGGTTATTCCTTGGAGGGACAGCAAAGGAGAGAAAGACCTTCAGCCAGGTGGATTGAAGCAGTGACTACAGTAATGGGCTTGAATGTGTCAGAGATTTTGTGGTTGGCACAGAATAGGTCAGGGTTCAATACTGTTGTTCTTAGGGGTGCTAGGGGTCATACTTGACAATATCTAACAACAACTACAACTTGTGCTTCAGTTTTTTGTGTTAGACCCATGGACATGATAAAGGAGAAAGACTTAAAACCTGCTTGTCACCAAGTTTGCCATGTAAAGGGCAACCTGCAATGGAACAAGAATGTTAGAATGAAAATGCTGTCAGATGCAAAGTCCTCCCCAGCCTGATGCAGAAAAGACTTGCAGAGTGTGTTAACCCACATCTGAGACTGAGGCAGGACCAGGGATTAGCTGATTATTGGAGGGTGGGACGAGATAGAGCACTTCCCATGAAAGTCCTCGATGAGGTAAGTTGCAGGTGTTCAGAAGAGAGGATATCACACTAAGGGATTCAGCCCTGTTAGCAAACAAAAAGTTGGAACTAAGAGAGCTCTTTGGTGATACTGGAGGGCCACCAGAGTCCAATCATAATGAGTCTTATGAGCTCTGAGGAGGGCAATAGGAAATCTTGCCAAGAGAGCAAAGGGGAACAGGAGTAACAAGGTCAGGTATGCCTTTAGGAAGAACACTCACTTTGGGCTGAATCGATTACAGGAGGGCAAGAGAAGTTTTACTTGTTGCTATCATTCACATGAGAAATTACCCGCAGTGTAAATTTAGAGACAGGCAACAAGAGATACAGAGAAATGGCTCCTAGAGCTATTTTAGAAATAAAATCAATAGAACTCAAGCATACATTTGACATAATGAAGGAAGGAAGGAAGCATTAGGGTGTAAAGCCAGATTTCTAACTTACACACAGAGTTGATAGAAGTGTCCTTTGCTGAGCTAAGGAAGATAATGAGTGAACAAGGCTAGGGAGGAGATGGTTCTTTCATTAAGAGGACAAATCTGCAAGTCTAAAGTGTGAAAATAAGGAACACAATACAGAAGACCAAAGAACTTGATGCCTTTGAATTAGGGCACTGGTGAAGAATATTGAATATCCCACAGACTGCCAAAAGAGCAGACAGAACTGGCTTGGAAGGAGTGCAGGTGGCATTCTCCTGGGAGGCCAGATGGGGAGACGTTGTTTCCCATACTTTGGGCATATCTTTAGAAAGGGTCAGTCCTTGGCAGAAGACATCATGCTTGGAAAAGTAGAGGGTCATCAAAGAAGACCTCCGGTGAGGTGAACTGAGATTATTACTGCAACAGTGGGATTAAGCACAGCAGAGATTTTCAGGATGGCAATGTATCAGGCAAGATTTCGCGCTATTATTCCTGGAGTTGGAATTGACTCGATTGGACCTAACACCAACCACAAAATGTGGAAGATAATTGAAGATGCTTACTTTATTCAAAGAATAGCTACATCTCTCTTTGTATTGCATGATTATTTCTTCAGTTGACATGCATTTTTACTTCACTTGACAGTCTTCACTAAAATAACTATGAAATGATGAAAATGAGACAATTGAATGCCTAGCTTTTCAATGGTGTTTCTATACCCTGCTTGGTTCCATTGTCCACAGTGGGTGGCACTGCTAACCTAAAGGCGGTACCTTGGTAGCAGTTTGAATATACCAGTACTTTTGCAAAAGAATTATGAGATGTCTCTTCCTGTGCAGTTTACATCCTCCAAAAACAGAGTTTAAGAGCTATGAGTTGGTTCCAACTCCACTCTAATGAGATAGGTTGGTTTGTTTAGCCTAGTGTAGTTGATACTATGAAGACAGGCCTAGAAAGCTGTGCTACAGTTATTATCTTGCTAATGACTTATAAATACATGCAATAACAGGAAAGAAATGATGATATTTAAGATTTAAAGCATTATTTTGGCTATTTTGAGCCTCGGTTTTGGAAATTGAATGGTGGGAGGGAGATTGTAGGTAGTTGCTGGTGTTGGCCAAGGTGGAAAGGTTATAATAGGTGAGTAGAGAGTGATTTAAAACATATGTTGTTCCTGATGGCATGTGGTTCGAATCCACCAGATGCTGTGCTGGAGAATGAGGGGCTGTCTCCTTCTGTACCAACCGGATCTGATTCAGTGGTACACACACAGAAAAATTTAAAAACAAAACAAAACAAACCCAACAAAACACCACATACACACAAAATTGAAAAAAGACATACGTTGTTGTTGTGTGCCGTCAAGATGGACCTGACCCATAGCTGACCCTCCAGCAGGTTTTCAGAAAATCTCAACGGAAGAAATTGCCCATCCTTCTCCCGTATGTCTTCTCATTAAGACTTATCTGGGAGGCATAATTGAATATTGCTTTAAGAATTAGCTATTAGGGTTGATAGAAAGAAAGGAATTTAGGATGGCCCTAATAACACTTAGTATTTTAAGAATCATTAGCTTGGATATAAAGATAATGTGAGAGGCTTGAAGGGAATTTAGTTCAGCATTGGATTTGCTGGGTTTTGAAGTACCTTATAGAAATTGATGTGAAAGGATTCAGGCTGGAAACTTGATTTGGTTCCCAAGGTCCTGTGATTTGTCTAGCATACTGTTTATCCAACTTCTAGTCATTAGAAAAAGGAGCTAGCATTTTAATACTAGATTCCTCTTGTTTCTTACATGGAAAAGCCCATGAAAAGGAATTTAGAATGGCCCTAAGAAAACTTAGTATTTTAATGGAGTCATCAGCTGATTAATAGTCATTATCTTCAAGAACTTTTCTTCAATGTCCTCTTCCATAATAGAAGCTGCTTTGACATCTTTGGAAAATTAAGCTAAGGTTATGGTCCAGCATCTGCTTCCAGCAGTCATTCACAGTGATGGCAGGAAATCTTGCAATACTGTTGAGAGTGAACAGGATCTTATACCTAAGTGCCTCCCAACAATTCTCACAACTGGACCAATAAACATCATAATAAATGGAAAATGTTAATGATGACAAGAATTTCATTTTACTTGGATCCACAGTTGGCATCCATCAAAGCAAGAAGAAAGAAATCATATTACTTGAAATGGGCATATTTTTGCTAAGGACCTCTTTACTGTGCTAAAGAGCAAGGGTATTAGTTTAAAAACTAATCCACACTTGCCCCAAACATTGGTATTTTTAATTGCTTCATAAGCATGTGAAAATTGGGCAGTGAAAAAAAAAAGAAAATTGGGCAGTGAATAAGGATACCAAAGGAAGAATTGATGTCTTTGAATTGTGGAGCAGAGGAATATTAAATATATTATGCCATGATCTGCCAAAAGGACAAACAAATCTGTATTAGGAAATGTTCAGCCAGAGTGTCCCATAGGATCAAAGATGGTGAAAATTCCTGTCACATACTTGGGTATGTTATCAGGACGGACCAGTGCCCGTAGAAGGACATCATGCTTGGAAGAGTGGAGAATCAATGCAAGAGAGGAAGACTCCCAGCCAGATAGCTTCACACAGAGACTACAGTGGTTTTTTTGGTTTTTTTTTTTT